AAAAAAAAAAAAAAAAAAGATGCTAATAGTACCAGTATCTTTTAAGGTTCAAAAGTGGTTTTGCATGCACTTCATAAGAAAGTTTGACAGCAGCTGATACCAGGTTTCAAGACGGAAGTACATGGATGGACTGAGTGGTCTCTTCAGAAGTCCAGAGAAGATAGTTAATACAAATCTAAACACATACTTGGTTAGAGTTATTTACATAATTACAATGCCGGAGTTTTGTTGCAGTACAAATTGTGTACGTCAGAATCTCACCAATACCCTTGAAACACAAAGTTCGTCTTCCGTGGCCCAATATTTCCTTGTCCATCTACTCCAAACTTCACACACCACTGAGATGCTACTGAAGCATTGCAAGAGACAATGCTGGAAAAGTCCACTTCAAAATATCCCGTTTATTCATATTTAGAAAGTTCCCTGAAGCCCTTGGCTGGGAACTTCTCTCTCCACATAATCCAAGTCCTCCTCTTAACCTCTGCATTGCAATAAAGTGGTTTTCTTAAAGGGAACCAAAGGCAGCTACAGGAGTGGAAGGTATCCCTTGAATCTGCCAGTTACAGGAAGCTGTCCTCCACCAGGTCTGAGGAGTCTATGCCAATGTCATCCATCATGTCGATGTCCTCAATGGTCTCGTCTTCTCTCTTGATGAAGGTGGAACTGCTGGAACCTGTCTCGATGGCACTCTCTTCAGAGGTCTGCGAGCTGGAAGAGGGAGAGAAAGTAAAGTTTGAGACCCACGTACACACCAGCAACACTGTGGCTGCATTCCCAGAGTGGCCCCCAGAAGCAAAGGAGCTCCTCCTGCACCACCTTTTGGAGATCAAGCTCAGGCTGCCTGGTGTGGCAAGTCCTGCCACCCAGTCAGACAGCTATGCATGCCCCATCATGCTGCAGTGGGCTGCATGGAAAACCAAAAGCTATATTCACACTTCAGCTTTCCTTCTTTTCTGCAGGTTTTTCACCAAAATTGCTAACATGCTGCAACATGGTCTGCTTTCTCTACTCAGTCCTAGTGGAGGAGAAAATAAGCAATGCCTGATCAAAAGGCACAGAAAAGAAAAAGCAAAGGGATGAATTCGACTGCAGCCAGATGAGCCACGGGCTCTCCTGAAACCTGAGCATCCAAACTGGTTTCTCAGGCTTCAACCTGCAATGCCCTCCGTTCCCTTCTCCTTCCATCCAGTGCCCCCTGAGTCTCGAAGGCTCAGGAGGGGGCTCTACACATACTGGAGTAGTGACTGAGAGGGGGAGATCTAGAGTCAGAAAGGCTTGCATCCGGAATGGACTTCACACAAGTTACAGAACCCCCTGAACTTGATCTTGTTTCCTTGCCTATAAAATGGCATGACAGTAAGGCCTAACACTGTACCTGTTAGGGTGATTAAATGAGGTAACAGCCATAAAGCTCTGAGCACGGTGCCTCGAGCATAAGAAGTGCTCAGTGCTCAGAGCCCGTGGCGCACTTGGAAGAGTGCGGTGCTGGGAGCGCAGCAGCACTCCCGCCACGGGTTCGGATCCTATATAGGGATGACCAGTGAGCTCACAGCACTCACTGGTTGAGCGTGGTGCGGCCGGTCTCAAAAAAAATAAATAAATAAGAAGTGCTCGATCAATGTTAGCTGCTATTATTATTATTCAAACTCTTGCCTGAGTTTGAATAGGGTCTGGGTATTAGATGATAGAGAATAGTTGTTCATTTCCTTACATGTGATCACGATATTGTAGTTATGGAGAAGAGTATTCTTATTCTTAGGAATGTGTGCTGAAGTACTGGGGGTGAAGTATCTCGGTGTCTCTTACTTAGTTTCAAAGACAGAGCCCCAAATACAAAGTAACCAAATGAAGAAAAGATCTGAGGTAGAGGGCCCTAGACCTACTGTCCAGTCTTCGCCTCACTGCCCTGTAGTTCTACCACGACCCCCAAAACTCAGAGAAACACTGTTTGCTTATGGAGCATAAACACATTGTAAAAACTGTCCTGAGCAAAGCATAATTTAAAAAGTGAGTCAGACAGGCTACTTTGCCCCGTCACTAATATCATAACACATTCCAAAAACTGTACTTTTAAAATTACCTGGTGCACACAGATAAATAAGGGCTGTCTATCCCTTATACCTACATTGGTTAAAAAAGGTCAGAATCATTTGCCTCTAAAATAATGCTATGTGAAAAAAATAAAAATAAAAAAACACTATGTGCTTCTGCCTAAATAATCGTATGTAGTTAATGGAATGACTGAGTAAGAAGAAAGTTAATGACCCAAATGAAGAGGAGAGAACACAGACTCATAAGCGACGTGACCACTGTCATCACTTTCTCCTGCCTCTGTCTGAGGGTCACCATGCAGACAAAGAAAGTGGGGAGTTGGGGCATGGTCTACTACATCTGGACCATGTGATCCAATGTGTCTCAGTCCTGGCTGGGCATTAGTAATGACCGCTGATGCCACAAAAGAGACAACTAGACAGTGGGAATCCTGCTGACAGCACCAGTTTTGAGGTATGTTTGTCAAAAACCTAACCCAAGTCAGCTCAAGCCTCTAGACTAACTACCAGCTCA